ATTGCTATTAGGTGGAGGCCATCGCTAGTAGGTTGATGGCCTCCACCCAGTAGATCGCTATTAGGTGGAGGCCATCGCTAGTAGGTTGACATAGGGAGACCTCCCAGGCATTCCGACCTACTGGGACATAGACCATGGAAAGACTGAACCCGGATCTAAAGATACACACACCGCTTGCAGATGTTGTACTTGTACCCCTCAGTACTGTTCCTGGTAAATTTTGCAAATCCTGGTTCCAGGAGCTCAAAGCCAAGTATGCCACGGAGGAAGACTTGGAGAAGTCCATCAAGGAGCCGAGCCAAGAGACTGACACCAGTGGAGCCTCAGGGCAGAGATGATGAGACTTTTGCGTATTTTGTGCCGAGCGCGAAAAGACCCAGGAGTAAGTGTAAACAGCTAAACAGCCTCAAGGACCATCACCCAGCTGGTTGGTCGGCGGTGAGTAGGTGCAGGTTTGGTCAGTGTGATCTTTGTGGTTGACAAGTTAAGGAGACCTTGTGCCAAAAATGCAGTTCCTGAGTGTCTTGAGATCACTTTTGGGTAACTTACAAGATAGCTTGTTCGTTTGGGAGTCTTCTCGTTTTGGCATCTATGGCAATTCCATCAGCTGCTGTACTTGTTTGGGACATCCGTGGCAGACATCAACTCCCAGGGACTATGGAGTCAAGCGGAGTCCGCACTGATCAGGCTCCAGGATGTACACTTCGAAGCTAAACATCTCTCCGATGTACTGGTCCTCGCGGTTCGGTTTCTTCAGGATTCAAGGCCCGCCCTGTGTGGGCGCGCTGGCGTAGAGATCCAACATGTTGAATGCGGCAAATGCGAGGGTGCCCAGAACAAGTTATTCAACAGTTGTTGACGTCTTTCCTATAGGAGTATAGTCGAGTTGCAGGGGATAGTAGGCAACCAGGCATTCCCATTTGAGAGGCAGCTTTTCCAAAATTGCAAATATGCAATTGAAATCTCAGTTCAAGCTGAATCTCTGCCGGCAGCCAGAAAACCACATTATATAGTCTTAGCTGTTGGAGATCAATTTCCTTCTGCGTACGCAGAATGCGTGCGTGAAATTCTTCGAAAAAACAGCTCGAGAATTGTCAGGACTCTTGACCCATAGCTCAAACGGGACGCGCATATCTTAGAATCTGGGGAACAGTCCAAAGGACCCTTTTGCGAAGGACCTGATCAAGTCAGGAAGTCGTCTCGGAGCTCTCTCGTTCGTGTTGGAACTGGACCGCTCCAAGTTGACCCGCCAAAAAGGAGATGTACCAAAAGAAGTGGGACACGCTGCTGGGCAAGGCCGCCAAATGCCCCCGATGCTTCTTCGATATCGAGCTCGACGGCGAGAAGGCCGAGTGCTGGGCGGATGGTCGGGACGGTCACGAGGAGTGCAGAGGGGTAGAGCTTCCAACTAAGAGCATTTCCTTACCCCAAGGATTCCCTATACAGTGACCGGATCAGTTTCGACTTTGGATGGACTTGAAGGAAGTCTCAAAAGAGGTCCATAGAGGTGGAGTCAGGTCTTGGAATCTTGGAAGTTCTTCCACGACCATTCTGGGTTTCACTCACCTCGTGCGTTGATCGTCCTGAGGGCATGACGGTCTCTGGCTTTAGGCGTCTGGATGCGTCTGGTGTTTTCCGTTCAATGCAGTCTTGTTTTCACCAGGACCTTCAAAGTGACCGAACTTGAGATCCCAGTGGCTGAGGTCACGAATCGTCCCTGAAGAGGATGAAGAGGTCACTTACAGACTCCAAAGAGGTCACGAAGGGCTCAGGTCCTGGAGCTTTGCAAGTCTTGTTGTGTACATGCTCCGTCCATCTGCCTCTGTCGCTCCACCGTGCCCCACCCAGCTCGCCCGGTTGTTCCCGACCGCCCGTGGCAGGTGGGCCGTGTGGTGATGATGCTCCGCGGTGACGTGGTGCCGAAGACGGCGGAGAATTTCCGGGCGCTCTGCACCGGGGAGAAGGGCTTCGGCTATAAGGCGAGAAGGGCGCTATGTGGCGCCGGGGAAGATATGTCCGAAGAAGATGTGGGAGACCAAGAGGTGCTTTTTGGAGTTTTTATGTTTATTTTTTTTTACGGGAAAAGGTAGGATGCCTCGAGAGATAGGACGCTTTGAATGCCTCCCATGCAAACGACCAATTCTTCAGCTTTTCGGGTCAAGCCTTGGATGGACCGGACCCTAACCGTCGGAGCGACCGGTGGCACTTTTTCTGCCCTCGCGCTGCGTTTGCTCTCTGACCTTTCCTCACCTTCGGTGCTGCCCTATCCCTTAGACTGTCCTTTGTGTCCTGAGAGTGTGCCTCTGGACTGGTTTTCGCTGGTAATAGGGATCTGCATTGGCCTCAGCCTGGGACTGTGCTTGGACTTGCTGAACATCGTACGGCAAAGCTGGAGGCTTTGGGTGCGGGACCGCTTGGCTGTTCTGGCCAGACGCACCTTGGAAGGAAAGTACAGAATCGTATGATTGGGTCATCCTCCACCTCAACTCTTGTTTCTTTGATAGACCAGTTACAAGTTGAGCTTCTAGAGTGCAAATCCCAAGTCAGAAGGTTGGAAGAGCGGGTTGCGGTTTTAGAAGAAAAGAGTGATCGAGCCCCTTCGGAATTCGACGTGGTCAGTGAAGCTGCTGAGCGCGCTCCGGCTACACCTCCTCGGGCCTCGAGCTCGGTGGGCGATTCAGGATTGCCTGCCTTCCGGGTGCAAGCTGCGGAGGAGATCGGGCGGTGGTTGCGCAGGGGGCTGAAAGGTGAGCATCGCGGTCTTTCGGGCCGTGAAAAGATCCCTCAGGGCAATCAGTACTACTTGGTCGTCAGGGACCTTAGCGGCTGTGTGCACGACCCCCCTCTCTTGTTCAGAGCTTGGAGCGAGGCCAAGTCCCATTGCCAGGCGAAGGGACAGTGCGGGGATAGCGTCTTTGTCGGGCTACCTAGCCAGGCAGAGGTGAGGATTGCGCTGCGGGCTGCACAGCTCCGTTTTCCTGCCGCTCTTGAGCGGCATTGATGGCAGCAGCTGAAGCCGTGCGGGAAGAGAGCGAGGCGGAGGTTCCAGAGCTTTCCTCGCTCCGAGACAATTTTGTGATCTCTGGAGATACTTTGATTGAAGACTTCAACATAGGCATTTTGTCTTTTGAAGACCCCCCCATCTCGACTAGTGTGATCTCAGTCTCCCTAGTAGACAACCGTGTTCTGGTTGCCTTGCCTGAGCCTGCATGGAGTCGCCTCAAAAGAGAACGAGCTCTCCCGCCTGGGGCGCTTCGCAAGGCGGTGCGGGTGGATCTGCAGTCCTGTTCCGAAGAGGACCGGCTGCAGCCTGTGGGAGAGCTAGACCTCAGAGTGTGGCTGGGCTTGCTGGCGGAGGAGTACGAGGACCTCGCAATTTTTCAAAGCGAGGAGGAGCCAGTTATCAGTTTTCCACTCAATGCAGAAGGGCGACCAGTTCTTCCCTATGCACGCTCCCTGGTAGCGGTGGCCCGGGATCATTTCACGTTCCTCAGTGCAGAGAGCGGGCTGGGACAGCCGGAAGGAGGCGGGACTGTCTCCGAAAGCCGTCTTGCGAATCTGGAAAAATCAGTGCAGGACATTATGAACAAGTTGGGCAAGCTTGTCGATCAGCAAGGTCCCACTCCCTCTCTGAAGACCAAGGAAAAAGAGAAAACTCGGCCACAGACTCAAAGGCCAGTGGCGCCGCCGCCAGAGGAGGCTTTTGCTCCGCCGCCTGGACTAGATCCTCAGGCGGTTCATCAAGCACTGCAAGCTGGAGTTACCCCGAACGCCATAGCAGAGATGGGTCGTTTTTTGGCCCTTCAACCAGCACCTGCTCAAAAACCTCGGCTATTGGTAGAACCTGTCGACAGCTCGGAGGAGGAAGAGCAGGTAGCGGGAGGAGGGGGAGGCGCTACTGGATCAGTCGATCCAATTGGCACCGCAGTCATCCAGCTCACGAAGCTAGTGAAGAATATGCAGGAGCAGAAGAAGGAGAAGAAGAGCAAGAGCCTAGACGCTCTCCTCGATTCCTACGAATCTGGATCGGGAAAGGAACCAGGCTCCAGCTTGAAGTCAAAAGCAGCGGCCCTCAGACAGTTGCAGCGCTTGCTTGTCACCAACCCCACAGTGATCTATCAGAGTCTCGAGAGGAGACTCCAAGAAGATTGGGATGCCTCCGAAGCTCTACCGGGGGTCTCAGCGACTCAGATCTCTGCTCGAGGATGGCTGGAACATCGCAGCCGAGTTCAGAACTATCAGACATCGGTCCGATTCGGCTGGACGCTCGCAGGGATTTGGGATTGCCTCAGATTGGGGCGCTACGAAGAAGCAAGGGCTCGAGCTGGCTTGGGGGTAGCTATGATCGATCAGCATGCTTGCGACAAGGGCTCTTTTTTGGTGGCTTCCGAGCTGACGCTGGAGGAGCCTCCGCCGTTCGCATCGTTCAGCCGGCACAGTCCGCCGGAGATCTGGGAGACTCAGCACACCAGGTTGATAGATGGAAGGTGGGTCGATCTGATTCTGAACAAGCTTCGGGATCTAGCCGACTACCACGACAAGAGGAACAAGTTGCAGCCACCCAGGAAGGATCCTGCAGCCCCATCGCCTGCTCCAAAGGCAAAACCTTCGCCCAAGAAGAAAGGCGAGGGGAAAGGGGGAAAGGGTCGGGAGGAAGACAAACCTCCCGCTGGTCAAGCCGAGAGCTAGACCCCACGACTCAGGAGGCTCAGAACAGTCGTCGGCACGGCTTGCCGGCTGAGCCTTCCTTGGACAGAACGACTGCCCCGGTGCCTGGTTCACAGGCGCCTAGTTCCAGTATTTTACAGCTATGGACAGCCATGACTAGGTGGATGTTGGGTTCCGGCTCAACCTTCGCTGATTTTTTCCGGTCTCTACCAAAGTCCCCGCCTTCAGTTGATGAGGGCACAGCTTTCGATGTGTGGCCTATGCCTCCTCCCTATCCATGTTGGCTTCTACCCGGAGCTGCTACAAGCAAAGACATCCCTTTTCCAGTGCGAGCCAGGCAAAAAGCTGTGAACCTCGCAGTGCTGACGCTGTCTTGGCTGCATCTCCGACGACCTCGTCGGGCACCGCCGGATATGAGGCTGGGGAAGCAGCTGACAGCTAGGCAAAGAAGGGCTGTGAGCAAAATCGAGATCTTTTTTAGGGAGGTGAGCTTTGATGGAAACATCGGTCCTGCGGAAATGGGCAGGACAGCCGCAAAGATCGAGAGCTGGGATGATCTTTTGTTTTCCTTGCGAGAACAAGCCTCTAGTTTGCATGCCGGTGACTATAGCACAAAGCTGCGGTCACGTGAAGCCGCTTTGGGAGAAACCCCGAAACTTGGGCGCCAAGATGGAGATGTGGGGTCTGTAGTCGGCACTATGAGCTCTGCAATGACGGTGCAAGCCAAAGAACTGCAAGCCTCCCGGATAGCTATGCCCAAGAATGCTCCTGAATTTGATCCTGGCCCCCTTTTGGATGAGCCTCACCGTACCGTCTACACTGACCCGGTGAGCCTTGCTCGGCCTGTGCTCGAGGCTAGGATGCCTCCACGGATCAGAGTTCATGCCACACCAATCGAAGCTCTAGCTTTTGTAGAGAAGTTGGATCAGCACCACCGCTTGCGCTTGGCTGAAAAGGAGGAGATCCGCCCTTCCCACCTTTGCGGAGCATTTGCATTGACAAAGGATGCTGAATTTGATCGTCTTATACTAGATGCCCGACCTCCTAACGACCTAGAGAGTACATTGAATGATTGGGTTCAGACATTAGGAGCCATCCAGCCTGTGCTTCAGATTGAACTTTCCCCGGAAGAAGATCTTCGGTTCTCTGGGACGGACCTCAAGGACTATTACTACTGTTTTCGAGTCAGCCGTCGCAGAGCCCTCCGAAACGCCCTTCGTCTACCGCTGCGGCCTTCCCAGGTTCGACATTTGCATGCATACAAGGACCATATGAAGAGTGCCAAAGTTCTATATCCCTGCCTGTCGACTATGGCCATGGGTGACAACAATGCAGTAGAGATAGGTCAGAAGGCGCACATGAAGATAGGGTTGACAAGTCAGCTTTTTCGATCTCATGAACTCCTCACGATCCACGGCCGTGCACCTCGAGGGTCCATGGCGTGCGGAGTGGTGATTGACGACGTCCTCTTCTGCGAGAAGGTCAGTCGTGACTTGGGAAAAGAAGGACAAGAAGGGGTCAGAACGGAGGGAGTACGCCGGTTGGAAGCCTTGTGTGAGGAGTACGTCCAGCGTGGTCTCCTTCCTCATCCTAAGAAGACTTTTAAAGGGGACAAGACAGCAAGTATTTGGAGAGCTGAAATCAACGGGTCGACGGGCGTGTGCAGGCCGGCTGCTCGGCGATTAGTTCCTCTGCTTCAGCTCACGATGAGAGTAGCCCGGCTAGGCTACGCTTCAGTGGCTTTGCTGGAAATTTTATGCGGGTGCTGGATCTCGATCTTGCAATTCCGTCGCAGGATGATGTGTCTGTTGCAAGAGACCTATAAGGTACAGAGAGGGAGACAGAGAACTGATGTCATCGCCCTGGCTGCTCCGTTAGTGGATGAGTTGTGGGTTTTGTGTTTTCTAGCCCCCTTGGCTGCCACCAACCTCCGTGCCTTTACCCATGATGAGATCTTTTTATCCGATGCCTCTGAGAGCTGCATTGCTGCGGTGAAGACTCAAGTGTCTCGCTGTTTTGCCCAGGAGCTGCGACGTCATTGCCTGGCTCGTGGGACCTGGAGCCGCCTTCTAGCGCCTTGGCATAGTTGGATGAGGGAGCACGCAAAGTTGCTTCCGGAAGATGAGCTCCCGGACGGAGTCCCTCTTGTTTCTCACCCTCTTTGGACGAAGCTAGCCCAGTATCTTGCTTTTTCTGTCTGCTCGCGGAGAATAGTCTCGCGACGCAGGCATATCAACCTTTTGGAGATTGAGGGGATTCTAGATGTGGAGCGCAAACTAGCGTCTAATAGATCTTCTTTGCGCTACCTCCTCGGAGCAGACTCCCAAGTAGCTCTAGCCGCCTTAGTGAAAGGCCGCTCCGGATCTGACAGGATCAATTCTCTGTTAGAGGAGAGCCTCCCTACAATTTTGGGGGCCGATCTTTACGGGGAGTACGGCTACGTGCCGTCATTAGCGAATTGTGCGGATGATCCAACTCGGGACAGGCCCGTCAGAAGGCCTTGTGAAGATCCCCCAAGTTGGCTAGCTGAAGCCCTGGTAGGAGAATTCAAAAATTTTGATGAGTGGTTGAGCCTGACCGGCTATGCACCGCAGCAGCTGGCCAAGCTCCCATTTGCCAATGCGTTTTGTACAGATGCTGAAGCTGTCAATGAGGAAGTTCTGCTGCCGCTGAGGTCTGTAGCAAAGCCTCAACGTTTGCAAGTTTTTGACGATGTGCAAGCTGCGTGTAGCAGGCTCAAAGAGCCCGCCATTGTACAAAAGGAAGAATCGGAACAAGGAGCATCTGAAGAGTCTGATGACCAAACCAAGAATCGCGACAAGAGCCCGCTAAAAGTTGAAGAAAGCGGTGAGGCCGTCCACCATTGTGTTGCTTCTGGAGAGGTAGCTCCACCTCCTGTAACTCTAGAAACTGCTGACGGCGCCGCCGACGCTGCAGAGCTGCCGATAGCTGAGAATCCTTGCGCTGGCGCTTTAGCTGCGGAGGCTCGGGCGCTTCTTCGCGAGTTCGCGCCGGACCAGTTTGTGCTGCCTGGAGGGAGACGAGCTAAGACCACACCTGCGCTGCAACGCAAAGGTTTCTTGGACTTGTTTAGCGGCAGAGCTGGAACCGCAACTTGTCTTAGTAGACTTTTTGGTGTTTGGGTCCTCACGTTCGACTTCGAACGGGGTGAAGAGCAGAATTTGTTAAACCCAGAGCTGCGGGAGAAAATCCTGCAGCTGATTCGAAGTGACTGTTTCCTCGGCGTGGGAGCTGCCCCAGAGTGCGCCTCTTTTTCTCGGGCAGTGACTCCGGCCGTACGGACTGCCCTGCAACCAGAAGGCATAGCAGGAGTCACGGAGAATATGCAGAAGAAGATCGAGATAGGCAACTCACATGCTGCTTTTATTTTACTGGTTCTCACCTTGGCAGATTCCAAAGAGTTGGGTTGGTGGTGTGAGAATCCTGACGGTTCTTTTCTCTGGCTACTTGGTCCCTACCTCCGTTCTGGGATTGGCTGCTGGAACAAGAGTTTTAGGTTTGACATGTGTCGTTATGGGACCCGGTGGAGAAAACGCACCCGAATAGCCACCAATACTTCTTTGCGGAGTCTACGAGAGCTCTGCGCGGGAGGGCACAGTCACGTGCCCCTCCGTGGCCGCTGTGCTGCTATGAAGTCTTCCTGGACGAGGGTTGCGCAAGTGTACCCCAAAGCCCTTTGTCATGACATCGCTACAGCACTGGCTATACACGCAGGCTTGACCACAACTGGCCGGCAGTGGAAGCTGAAGATCGGCGCCTGTGCTCACTGCAATCCTGAGAGGATTGGAGAGGCTTCAAAACCCGGCCCAGGTCGGTGGCGGCGGCCTCAGCGAGACGCTCAGGAGTTGCTGGATGTGCGTCTGGTTGAGAATCATACGTTTGAGCTGCAGAACCGCGTATGGGCGCGGTTTCAGGAGTGGCTGTCCAAGAATCTTTCTCTAGAAGCCCGGAACCAACTTTTTCTGTGTCCGGAGATTGCTGTCATGGTTCTAGAACGGTATGGGTTGCACCTCTTTGCCACTGGGGGAAAGCTCTACGAGTTGAGACACCTTCTAGTGCTGGTACAACAAGAATATCCCCGCATCCGAATTGCCACTGGACCTTGCTGGCAACTAGTGACACGATGGGAGCTGCATCAGCCTGTGAAACATAGACAGCCATTACCAGAGAGTCTTTTCAGAGCGATGTTCTCGATAGCAGTTCTTTGGAAGTGGACCAGATGGGCCGCAACACTCCTTTTAGCCTATGAAGGTATTTCTAGAATAGGGGAAGTGTTGGCCGCCACCAGAGGCGACCTATTGTTGCCCAGCGATTGTTTCGATGACAAGCTGTTGATTGCTTTTTTAAAGATCAGAAAGCCTAAAAGCAGAAGGCGGGGGATTGGGAGAATTCAACACCTGAGAGTTGCTGATGAAGCTGCTGTGAAATTCTTCGAACGCCACTTCAGTCGGCTTGAACCTAGCGTGCAGCTCTTCCCGAGATCCGCATCAGCTTTCCGAAGTCGCTGGGATAAGATCCTCGACACCCTCAAGATCCCCGTGAACTGCCGACCGACTCCGGCAGGGGTTCGTGGAGGAGGAGCTATCCTGGCTTACAAGCGTAATCGGCCCATACAAGACATCCTCTGGGCTATGCGCCTGACATCGATCACGACCTTGGAATCATATCTGCAAGAGACCGCTGCAGATTCATTACTCACCAGACTCCCTGAAGATGCAAAACAGAAAGTTCGCCATGCAGCTAGTTTTTATGAGATTGCTCTTAAGAGCTGAATTCGATTTTCTAGAGCGCCCTTGTTCTTGCCTCTCTGCAGTCGCCCGACGATTATTCGTCCATCCTGTATAGCTCGTACTCTAGGTGACGGCCCACGAGAAGTTTGGATAGAGCTATGCCAGCCCTGCTGCACTTTTCCTCTCCTTTTGAAG